CCCGGCCCTGCCCGGCCGCCCCGCCGCCCGCCCTCCAGCAAAGAGACCCGGGCTGCGAATTCCCGCCTCCGCTTCAAACTCACCAGAAAAAAAACGCTGCACTTCGTCAGCTGAGCAAGACCAGGGCAAGCCCCGAACCTTCACCACGAATCCCTCTCCGCCTTCGGTACCCAGCATCATTGTCTCAAATGGGTACTCGGTCGAAAGAGACTACAAAGCGGGAATAAAAATCAGACCTAGGAAATGTTAATCCGCCCGCGAGACGCCCCGCGAGTCCACAGCGCCTCAATAAAAGTCGAGCCCGTGCGCACGTCCCAACCTTGACGACTCCGACACCCAACGTCCCCCTTGGCCAGCGAGCGGGCCGCCAGTGCAGCCCTGGGCACCAGTTACCCGAAACCCAAACCGCAGGGGGCCCGGCCTGGCGCCAGCGTGGAGGCAGGGAAATGGCGGCCGCGCTTCCGCTCCGCCTCCTCCATCTCACACAATAGAGTCGGCGCGGCCTGCAGGCCCCAGCGGCCCTGCTACCGCTCCGCAAGCCATTCCTGGCTCCAAGCGGCAGGCCGCGCCTTGCCAAGGCCCTCCGCCAGCCTCTACGGAGGGCTAGGGACAAGCAATCCTCGCAAAAACAGCATCTTCAGCAGCCACTGGGCGGCAAAAATCGAACAAACACTCACCGGAACGGACGGCTTCAGCGTGGCTGAAAAGAAATGGCCAGCGGGCGCCTGCGCAACCTAAATAAGGCCCTTTGAACAAGCTCTGCGCATGCGCATCCAGGTGGCCGCGCCACCCCCTTGCGTCACACAGAGCTCACACGCATGCGTACTTTCAGGAGCCGGCCCATCTCCAGCCAGCAAGTTATTATGCACAAGCGTTTGTGGCTCAGCCCCTCCCACCTGCATAAACGCGCCAGGCTTTTTTGCGCCTGCGCCTTGCGCGATTATTGAACATTGGGCCTCAGCGGTTTACAATTTAATTTCGTGCGCATGCGTCTTCCTTCAAACCGTTCTTTCGCGGTACCCGCCAGACTGGGGGAGGGGAATGGCGGCAGTCAGTTTCCTATGGGGACCGAATGGTAGCCCCGGGCTCTGGGTTGGACTGAGGCAGCTGTCTTTCTATCATTACCCTCTGCCTATTCGCGCTCCTGGCAGACCCAAAGGGACAGGCGCTCCCCGCCCTTGGTACTCTCTTTCTCCCCAGAGTTCCCCCGTGACTACCTGCGCCCCTCCTGGGGACAGCGGAACTGCGCACCCCCCGTGCCCGAAGCCACCCCCGCGGCGCCGGGATCATGTCCGGGAGAGTGTGCCTCCACTTGCCCCTACCTGCCGCCGACGGGCCTGGGGCCGCGGCCCGCGCAGGGTCCCGGTGCCCGTGACTTCTGCCCCTACCCCGTTTTTGCCCTAACGAACTCGCACCCGGCGACCCCGCCCTAGAGTCGGCAGGGCCTGAACACCGCCGGGCGCTCGCACGAGCTGTGGCTCGATGCAGCGTCCGACGGCGCCTCGTGAGCGCAGAGTGAGGCGCCGCTGCTCGCTGGACTCTGCTTTCTGGAGCGGGTTCCCCTTAATGCTTAATGCTATAGATACGGTTACGTCGGTTTCCCAAGTGGAGGCTGTGAGTTCGGCGAGACCCCAGGATCACCCCGTGTACGCATATGGCACGACATAGTGATGTTCGTGGTTTTGGGCAGCACTGCGGGAAACCAACGATTCCCGCAGCCTCCCAGGCTTCCCCTTGTGTAATCCTGGCCGCCCGCCCCACTCAGGCTTGGTGGACAAAGGCTAAAAACAACAATAAGGCAGTGTTGGACAGTGCCACAGGGATACTACAGTTAGGGAAGGGAAGACACTGGCGAAATATGTTCCCACTCATGCCGTGGTCTGGAGGCCGAATCCAGGTTTGAAAGGTTGGAGAAAACTGGAGAGGACCTCAATGAAATAAAGGGGGAGTGTGATCTAAGATAAGATCTCAGAGGTTGGCAGTGCCTGATTTTGAAAGACCACTTAGGCTTTGAAAGAACTGTTATCTACAAGCGCCTGGGAGGCATTGGCAAGTCTTGAGCAGCGAACACGTGATAGGAGTTGTTCGTGAGGAAAACTGCGAGGTGGAGCAAGTGGAACAGGCTGGGGGAATGATCCTCAACTGCAAACGGAGCTCGAGGAAATAGAAGGCATTTTGGCTGAAGTCACCAAGCAAGAACACTTTTTGTTCTTGGGTACTCTCCGGGACATCACAAAGACACCTCTTGGAGGTGTCTTCATAGGTTACAGTATTTGAGAGCTCTGGTTCTACTAAATGATCTAAGAACAATGATTTCTAATTAGAAAAGAAAAAAACCCTGGTCCCCTTCGTAGTGCATTGAAAAAAAATGTTTTTACTTTTTAATAACATGGCACTTTTAAGGTTTTTTTCCTTAAAATGTTTCTATAGTTTTCTGGGATTTTCTTCCATAATAAGATTAAATGTATAATCACAGAAAAATTAGATCATTTCCTCAAGATAGATTTCTAGGAATAAAATTATTCCATTAAAGGATCCGAGTATTTTTAGTGCTACTAATAATAGAATAGTATTTAACAACCTGGTATGTGAAGATTCTATGTCCCCTTGTTTTGCTGGCACTGAAAATTTCCTTTCCTCTAATCTTTGCTAATTTCATACTGAGGAAAAAAAATATCTAATTTGTATGTTTGATTACTAGTGAGGTAGAAGTCAAAGCCATGACTTTCCTTTGACTTTATTGGACTTTAGAAAGCCCTTTCGCATACACGATGAAGCACATATTTATTCATTTATCTTTTTCATCCTAAAACACATTCTTTTTCACAGTTTAACCTCGCTAAAATAGGGATGTGTCTTAAAGACCAATGGCATGTCAGTTTAATAGGCAGCCTTTTTTTCCTAGTAGTATGTAAAATAATGGTGTGTCTTAAAATCGATGACATCTTAGACTTAATGGAAACTGGTAAATTCTGTTTTTAATTTTTGTGATGACACATTGCAGCCATTAAAATATTTTTACAGATTTCATTGTGAAGAAATGTTTGTGATAAAATAGAGCGTGAGAAAACAGCAGAATCCAAAACTGACAAGTGAAAAAGAAAAAAGAAACAAAATTAACAGTGGTATACCTACCACGAAAAATTATGTTAATATTATATTAAAACACTGTGGCACCAGCACAGAAAGAGAGCACTCAATGAGGCAAAATCTAGAAACAGGTCCAAGGTATATTTGGGAATTCAGCATTCAGTAAGGTGACATTTCATATCAGAATGGTGTTAAAACCAATGACTCGCAATTTGGGAAAAAAATAGCATTAGAGGTCTATTTCACACCATATGTCAAAATAAACTCTAAATAGATTTAAAAGATTTAAACTAGAGTTTAAAAGTATGCAAAACTAAAGGTACTAAAATGAAATGTACATATGTATTTATAAATGTTTAGGTGAGGAAGACATTTCAAAGCATGAAATCAAAGATATACCCAGAAAGGGAAGACTGGTACATTTGACTACATAAAAATTATTTTTAAAATTCTGTATTGAATAAAGTGGGAGAATTAAAAGGCAAACAAACAGAAAAAAAATTGCAATACATGAAACACAAAGGAGGGGTGTGTGGTGTGTGAAATATATAGACATACACAAAGTGCTTACTCTGTCCCAGTGTAATCTCTCAAACAATCCAATGGGACATATGTACTAATATTATCCCCATATTACAAATAGGCAAACTATAGCTTAAAGAGAAATTTGCTCTGGTGTACAGCCGGTAAACAGTGGAATGGGGACTGATCAGCTAGTCTGCTGGGACCCCCAGACTATTCCTCACCATACAACTGCCAAGGAATAGGATTTGCAAAAAAAGAAATGCAAATGATCAATATAAATAAAAAGTATCCCCTTAATGGTAACCCAAGAAAAGCAAATTAAATAATGCAATGTTTTTTGCTACAAATTTTCAAATGAACAAACATTTAAAAAATAACAGAGATGGAAAGGATGTAGAAAGGTGTCATGGGTGTACATGGAGGCTGGAATGTAAATCGATAACTCTGGAGAGTTTTGCAATATATATTTGAAATCTTAAAAATATACATTCCACTTCCACTTTTGCACGGATTTAAATTACATAAATGTTCATTGAAGCATGAAATATGGAAATTTTATAAAACAATTTAAAGATTTGTCTAATATTTTGAATAAATTGTGGTACATCTTTATTATACATTCTCATCTGGGGCAATATCACCCCCCAGGGGGCAAAAATTGGTTCTTGAGTGTGAATACATCTTAGCTATTACAATGGTTTGTGGCCCTTCTAAGGGCACAGTACAAAAAAAGATACGCAGTATATCTATGCTATTAGAATTTCATGTGCGGGAGGTAATTAGGGGAAAATTGTCTAAAAAGACTCCTTTGAATGGCAATCATGAAAAAAAAGTTGAGAAAAACTGATCTGTATAATAGAATATTCTGCAGTTATTAGAAATGGTGACATAAAAGTTTATCTCTGACTGGAAATATGTTTACGACATTCTTTGAATTAAAAAAAAAAAAGCAATTTATGAAACAACACAGTATGGCTCAGTCGTCTGCAATATGTACAATTACACCCATGAAGAGAAAAAATATGTGTATATTGTATATATATATGTGGAAAAAATATAATCAAATGTTTTCAGGGACTTACTCTGTAAGTGGTAGGAGCATGGGTTAATTTTTTTTTCATTTCGGCATTTTCACTTGTTTTAATGCTAAACAGTCATCACTAGTGGATACAAACTACAATTCTCTTAGTGGCAAAGGCTGAGAACTTCGTGACGTAAGCTTCCTCGCATCTTACCAGCAACGCAGCAGCAACACGTTTTGAAGCTGGAGGCTGCAAAGGCCGCCACGGTCGACAAGCGGTTAGAGTTCAGAATGGGGTTCCAAGCCCACCCCAGCCCCCTGCGACGTGGCTGTGCCCTTCAAGCCCTGTGATCATGGCCTTGTTAAATAAGATTACTCTTCCCACGCCCCGTGAGGGCTCCGTAATCATTTAAACCACTCAGCGTGAATTCAGATACTTTGTGCGTCGGAAACAAAGGGACCACAACCCGCTGGCACTGCAGGCGGAGCGTCCCCGCTGAGGGGCTGGCGCTCCCGGAGCGGGTGGGGTCTGCAGCTGACAGCGACCTGGAAAGGGATCTTAACACGCCCCCTTCAGTCCGCTCTGCGCATCTTCGGACAGTGTGATAGCCATGAACTTTAGAGCCAAGTACCGGCCCTGGCTTCCCAAGGATTCAATCAGGTCCCTCACTGTAGTTGAATTCTTCAGCCATGCGTTCAATATAAGTGACTAATAGCATTTAAATTTTTCTTATTATGGTAAACATACATAACCTAAAAGTTACCATTTTAACCATTTTTAAGTATACAATTCAGTGGTGTTATCTACATTCACAATCTTGCAAATATCACCACTATCCACTTCCAGAACTTTTTCATATTCTCCAAGGGAAAATCTGTCCCCATTAAACACCAACATTCAGTCCCCCTTCTTTAGCGCCTGGTAACCTCTATTCTACTATATGTCTCTAGAAATTTGCCTGTACTAGGTATCTAACATCAGTGAAATTGTACAGTATTTGAACTTTCGCGTGTGATCCATTTTACTTAACACAATGTTTTCAAGGTCTATGGTTGTCATAGTATGTGTCAGAATTTCATCATTTTTAAGGCAGAATAATATTTCGTTGTTTGCATATACGCCAGTTGTTTATCCATCTTTGATAGACATCTGGGTTAGTTTTACCTCTTAACTACT